ACTTTCAGATGTGCTTTGTTTGCTTCTTTATTATATAGTTCTATGGTAATGTTACTTGAATTTGGGAACTGCCCCTCGATTCCATTGGATATTTTGGTTAAGAAAAAGGTGTAAATCAACCAAATCGACCAATGGGTTCCAGAGATATGGTCCTGGGTAAATTATGAAGAATGCCAGCCGGCGTAAGCACTTTACGCAGCAGACTTTACTTATTGTTTACTACGTAAGGAAGCAGGAATTGCAGGACCCAGAGCGCACGGAGCACAGAGCGGACAGCAGATAACGGAATTGCAGTTTTATTACTTATAGATTATCAGAACATTTCAAAGGGGACATAGCCACATTGGGTATTGACCTATGGATTAACTACATCATCGTTGTTATCGTTTTAATGCCATTGAAGACCAGTTTAGACCAGACAAACACAAAGGTAAGCCATGTTAGCATTGTGTAGCTACCTAGCGCCACTTCTTTTGATTTACGTTTTTGTTGATAACGTTTCGAGTTTGTATCTTTCAGTATTGAGGTGGGCACCGTTAGATTCTGTGTCTTTACATCATAAACGATGTGTTGGATGTGCAGCTGGGATAAGTAATAAGGGAGCTAGGAGTGATTTCCGGTGCTGTAATAGGTTAGCATTTTTCGCTCGGGGCTAATCCAGAGGCTCACTGTTAGCATTGTGGGACCTAAGAGGATAACAGAGTATGTTTTTTTAATTTCTATTTTTTCACAACAGTTGTATTTGGATGGAATGAATACCTATAGTGATAATTCAAAGTAATAATATGATTTTTAAAGTGAAAAAGGTCAAATGGAACTGATAGTTCCCAAATTACCCAGAGGTGAGTCCGCCTGGACTTTATTTTTCTAAACCTCTCTAAAAAGGTCAAATTTCACTTGTTTTGTATCAATCTTGATACAGGGTACTTATTATATGTTATAGTTTGGATTCCTAAAGCTTTTAGTCTACTAACCCATCATTCAAGGGTGGTTTTCACTATAAGTAATGGGGTTTTTTTAGGCGGACATTATAATTTACATGTTTTTACTATGTTCCATCTGAATGTACTTTAAAATAAAAACATCTATATTGATTCTGACACTTCTACATCCAACTCACAGATGTAACCTTGCTTTGAGAGAGAAGATGATTAATTTACCCCTTTTAGAAGCGAAGATATAGTCTTTGTTGTGTTAGTGGCATTTTCGAGCCTGAAACCTGAAAAACAGGCTCAGGGCTTAAGAGGTTAAAGCTTGTAGTAACTCACAGGAGGCTTCTTTTATTTTATTTGTATTCATAATAATTTTTATTTTTTGTCAGAATGTCAAAATTACATTACTTACAAATTGTTGTTCTCAAAAAACATTGCATTGTGTGTAATACAACTGATTTTTATTAAATTAGTTGGTTTTTAAGGAAGGCCAGAGCTTCAGCTGTGTCAAATAGATTGTTCCCTTTAGTTAACATTATTTAAAAGATAATGATCATGTCCCCTTTATTGTATTACGAGCATCCATTCCCATTGGATAACGGAGAATCTTACACCCGGAAGTAAGTATTCTCCTTACTGTCGATTGATTTTACAGTGATATCTGCACTACTCATCAACTCGAAAAACACCAAATTATCCTTGTTAATTACACAACATTGATTGGTTTGAATTGTGTACAATGCTTTTGTATTTTTCCCCTTCGATTCGGAGAAACCCCGTGATCAGTCCTCAAGCTCTGTGATTTGGATGTTGGAGTGGCAGTGATACAAATATTACAAATGAATAATAATAATAATAATAATAATTAATAATACAAATTATTATGAATAGGGCCTACAAATAAAATAAAAGAAGCCTCCCGTGAGTTACTATAAAGTAGATTTTAAAAACGTTTTATAGAAAAAAAGCTCACTGCGGGACGTTGTAGAAATGCGTGTGTGCACCACGACAAAAGAGCCTCATTCACTTTACATTGGGGTTTTTTGCATGGTGCCGACACGTAAATGTAGCAGAATGCGTGAATCAACCACGCAATGCGGTGTTAAGGAGTCGTGGTGTTTAACATTTTGGGTTACTTCATATTAAGGCTAATAAAAATGACAAGGCTGTAATGCTAACTAACGTGCTCGCTACTAGCTAGGTAGCTAACTTGATCCAGCCACTCCTGGTCCTTTCATCAGACGGGAAGCGAAAGAACGAGCAAGACCCATTGCTGGTATGATAACAACCTGGTACTAAGCCCACAGGCATCTTGTTAAAGTTATCTTATCTTAGCCAGCGCCATATAGATAGATTATATCTATATGGCGCTGATCTTAGCTATCTCTTAGTGGAGGAAAACAATTGTGACATCACTTACGCGACTCTGGGATTTGTAGTCTTTCTAGTTGCGTATTTTTCATAGTCTTATATTTCAACAGTTTTACGACACCACGTTTTGTGAGTGCACTGCACGTGTGCGGCATTGTTTGGGATTACCTAATTAAAATAGCGTCCCCCCAGTAAAACAATCCATAAGTCTGGACCTCCTTCCCCAGCCACGTCCGATCTGCCAACACTCTCCAGTATTCAAAAAATCCCTCAAAACTCAACTTTTCACTCTTTCATGCTTTGAGCACCAGGAAAAGCACAACAATAGCATGTATTATTATTATTATAATAGAAGTGTAGGCCGCAAAGCAGGTGAAAAACAAATGTGATGTTAAGAATGACACAAAACAGTAAGCGATAGCATGTAAAATCTTCCCTCTTTTAAATCTCATCATCAAACCAAGTCAAAATCACATTTTGTTCTTGGCAACACGCAAACAACATATGGGTTAACTATTTCTTAAATCTGCTGTTAAGTTTACAGTGAAATTAGCTCCCCCCATCAGGTATTTTTCACACTAGTTGAAAAGTAAAGATAATGTTTTAAATAAAGAGACTCCTCATATAGATGTTTTTTTCCTAGCAGATCTTAAATTAAACATTGTCTATTGTCTGATACCTGAAGGATCCAGAGAAAGTGAGCAAATGTTTCCACCAGCCAGCAACGGAAACAATCAAAGAGCTAGTCAGCTGAAATAACTATGGAACTTTGAAATATTTCCTGATCAAAACGAGTTTTTAGCTTATTAACAACCAGCAACAACAGATTAAAAACAAAGAAACATAATCATAAACATCAAAAAACAGTCACTGTCTTTTACCAACCACAGCAGAGCAAGATATTCCAGTTATCAGATCATAAAGCAATGAGGGTAACCTTGACAAGTTACTGTAAAAAATAAATGTGTAAACATTTTTAATTTTAAAGTCATGGTCATTTACCTGTGTTAACACACAGCAGGATTGTAGTAGAACAAATACATAGATTACCTTTACGTCCCAACTAGGGGAAGAGGAAAGCAACATACACCAGTTGGAATTGGTAATAATTATAAATAGTTTTAATGTATAACAGGTAGAACAAAATGGAAGGCACGCAGCCTGAACAAACAAAAGGGCCAAAAGGGCGTGGGTTTCAACGGGCAACCAACAAAGGAAGGACTCTAATAACGGGGCCTACTTACATACAAAGAAATAGGTACTAACAAACTAAATAGCAACAAAACATCCCTCACTACCAAAGTGGTACAGACTAACAAAAGGAGACTGTAAGAAAACACAGCTAAGGTAGAGGACAACAGTCAAACAATACTAACCTAATCTAGGCACATCTAATCACAACAGTGCTGATAAACACGGACCACACGAGTTAACCACGGTTAACAGATTTGTACACAATCGAGAGCAACTAGCGAGAGGCATCTGTTCACACAGCAGAGCCTCCCGAATGATCATTGTCGACCGGCTTTGTAGTCGTCGAAGGTGTGCGCTGGGATTGGAGCACGTCGGGCCCATCAGCTCCAATCACAGTCTTCGGGGGCGGACCAGGAGATGGGTAGCCAATGACAGCAGGGCAACCGCACAGCTCATTTACATAGAACACATTCAAAACAGAATTAACAGGCCCGGGGAGATAGCAGACGTAACAATTACAGTGATCGAATTACAGAGCAAACTGCAGCTTGGCAGTCGCTCAGTCAGTAGGGGCTTGGACTGGGAGTCGTAGGGTCGCCGGTTCAAGTCCTTGAACAGACTTAAAATATGGAGTGTGGACTGGTACTTAGAGATGTCCCAGTTCTTCTCCTGGGCCCTGCCGTGGTGCCCTTGAGCAAGGCACTGAACAAAGTATCTGTTCGCACACAGTCTCGTAAGGTAGTCATCCCTCCTGTCTCCTCGTTCTCCTCCCCTTTGGCTGGAGGGTTGACAATTTTTTACAGGGCTACATAAATCCTAATTTAAATCAATCCATCCTGCGGGCTTGGCCCTCTGCTTGCTTTGACCAGCACTGCAAAACTAATTGCATAAAATATTATTATTTTGACACCTTCTCCTGGTTTCCCATCTGCTTAGCAGCTGGAGTCCTTATGCCAAGGTCTCCCCCACATACTCCAGACTTGCTGGGGGTCGAGCCAACAGCGATCTTGTAGCCATTAGTGACATGACTCATAACTTTCTGTTTAAGCTGTGCAACCTGCTCCCGCAGCATGGCAGCGGTTGAGGCCAGGTTCGAGTTCTGTTTTTTCAGAACACGCACTTTTTCTTCAAGCCGCGTTATCCACTCCAGCTTCTGCTTGCGGCATTTTGACGCGGCAATACGATTGCAGAGCTTCTTGCGTTCTGCTTTGATGCACTCTTCTGTCTCCAGGTTGATTGGGGGGAGGGAGGGTGAGGAAGCAGGGTCGGCAGGTGGATGAGAAACCTCAGGCACGATCTGAGGTGCGTCAAGGCCTTGGGCGTGAAGTTGAGGGACTTCATTGCCACTGTGGCCTGAGCTGCTGTACGCCCTCTGTCCGCCAGGGTATGTCATCTGGCCCAGGTTGTAGCTGCTGAGGTTGGTGTAGACGGGGAGGTCTCTGCCAGACATCAGGTTCCTCTGGTAGGACGCCTGTAGGGAGACAGTGGAAAATGAGGACGGGGACATGGGGCCGCATCCCACCAACTGGTTCTGCTTGTGAAGGTCAGCGAGCGCTTTGACAAAGCCATCGGCAAATCCTTCTTGCTCGTTGGTGGCCTGGTTACGGTAGATGAAGGGATTGGTAGAGTTCGAAACTGGGCTGGTAGTGACCAGTGCCTGGTTGGAATGTATGATCAGATTCTCCAGGTCAGAGGACGCCATCTTCAGCAGGTTGATTTCCACCAAGGGCGTCCCTGCTGTCATCAGGGAGCTGTTGCCGGCAAGTCCCAGGTTATGTTGGTTTCCACCCCCTGTTACTTCACTGCTGGGAAAGTGATGACTGCCCATCATTGATGTGGCCTTCTTACTGATCAGTATCTTGTTTCCAGAGTAACGCTTGTGTTCTGCAATGTGGCTAAATAGAGGGACAATAGGGGAGTCGTCGTGGTAAAAAGGAGCCTCCATGTTGGCCTTCATTGATGAAGAAAATCTTCATAATCAGATTAACCTATATCAGAGGGGATTGAAACATTCTGCTGACGTCGGCGGCTTCAGTATGAACAGCAGAAGAAGAGGGGGCGAGTGCCTGAAGGAGAAACAAACAGGTTTGTGAGTGAAAGAAGACTGAAAGATTACTGCGGAGTAATCTGGGGGGTAATCTTTTGAATGGGGTTCCTTAAAAAAAAAAATTGCAGTCAAAAACTGGTTTTAAGTATTTTAACATATAATGTTCATGATTAAATTAGCACCAATCAAAACCTCAGTTTAATACATGACACGTGTGTTGACCAACTGCTGCGGTGGAAGAGGTATTAAGATGTTATAATTACTTGATCTAGTAAAGTACAGAAGAGCATAGGGAGAGGAGGGGTGGGACCAGGTTCATTCTAATGAAAGTTGCATCACATCTCTGCACATTTAATTGAATGAGAATGCGAAAATGAATCTGAATTGAACTATCCGTCCATTTTACAACTTTTAGGACCTCATGATTTAAATAAGGGAAATTCAAATTTTCCTCTTTGTATTTCATTTAGATAAAAAAAAAAAATCGACAAATGTATGTTATTAGCGACCCAATTTAATGTCCTGCATTCGAATGCTCACTAAAGTATGTAAGTACGACTCACAAAATGAAGTTTTAGTATAAAAGTAAAAGTACTAACTAAATAGTGAAATTAGCCCTTTAGTTGTACAATTGCCAGTATATTTACCAGTAAAATACCTGTTTATTAAATTGTGAGCACAATTCATAATGTACTGTTGATGAATATTCAGAGGTGTTTGCTAAATCATATCCATCGGGTAAGTACCGTTCAAAATATAAATGGGATTTAGATTTTCATCCCATCTCACAAACAGCAAATAATATGTACAACTCAACAACCACTGTCCACTGTTTCCTTGGGTGTCCCTCGGGTCAATCAATCAATCAATGTTTATGTATATAGCCCAATATCACAAATGTTACATTTGTCTCAGTGGACTTCACAGTTTGTACAGAATATCAGTATGACAATACGATACCCTCTTTCCTTAGACCCTCACATCGTACAAGGAAAAACTTCCAGAGAAAACCCACAGTGGGGGGAGCATGGGAGAAAGCTCAGGGAGAGCAACAGAGGAGGGATCCCTCTCCCAGGACGGACAGACGTGCAATAGATGCCATGTGTAAATCGAAGAGATAATACGTTTTGCAGCATAGGTAGACAACATGTTTGGAAATACATGTGTCTATAATAAGAAGATGAATCCACGAGGATGTCAACAAGCCTGTGGGAGCCATCAGGGAAGTATCATGAGAGTCAGCCACAACCAGGTCAGTGCTGGTTCCACTCCTGTTCATCTTATACCTCCTTCCTCTTGCACTATCCTCCGTCACCATAATGTTCACTTCCACTGCTATGTATGCTGATTAAACAGGTCTGCATATTCGACAAACCCAACACTGCCCTGCCTCCCACCTATCTCTCCACCTGCCATCAGGAGCTGGATGAGCAGGAACTCCTCAGCAAAACAGAAGCCCTGATTGTTGGCTCCAAATCCACCAAATCTTCGCTCTCCACTGCCTCCAAACCCATCCTCATCCCATTTCTATTGGTTCCCTGTTCAATCCCACATCAATACAAAAACCTGCTTCTCACCTACAAAACCCTCCATAACCTGGCCCGTCTATTTGGCAGACGTCATCAGGAGTCCATCCCCTTTTTCGTCCCTCCACTCAACCTCAGCTGGCCTGCTATTAATCACCAATTTACGCCCTTACGATCTCTGGTTTCGTTGAGAAAGGCGACTCAAAATAACATTTATTATTATTATTATTGTTAATGGGATTTTATTTTTATTTCTTTCATAATATTAACAATATTTTGATGTATGGACTATATTTATTCCACTATTGTGTACAGCAGCAGCACACATGGCTACATAATAAATACGATCTGTTGGAGGGGGTGTTATCACAAAGATGTTATTATAGAGGTGTAAATCTGATTTGATATAATTACAGAATAGTGTCAGTCTTAATACAATACATGCCATACGTACCGTTTCAATGTACATAAGAGCTTGTCGGCATTGTGACTCGAAAAAATAAGAAAAATATATCAAATGAAGAGCAGAGAGGCATGAAGACATGACTGAGCTCTTTCACACCCGCTTCCTGATCAGAATGGGAAACACCTGAATTTTTAGCGAACAGGAGAGACAAATGGCTCATCACTCATACTTAGGACGGAAAGATTCACGCAAATGATAAACACTATGCTGAAGTATCTCTGATCATCACAAGCTGCAACGAGCGGATGATGTGAACTGAGTGAGGAACATCATGCTCTCTGCCTGCCAATAATCCCAGAGTTATGCTCCCCAACAACATTCTACAGGAACTGCTGCCAGAACAAACATTTTATAAATTATAAAAAAAGACAAATATGAATGAAATTATTGATGTTCCAAGCAATAATGAATAATTAGCTTCCCTGCAGAAGTTCAGTGACAGTAGGAGTCACACAATGAAAACAGTAATACTCATTGTGATAACCTCTCAATGTTAAAGACGTTGGATTTATCTCTTTTCTCTTTCCTGTACAGCCGGTAAAGTTCCGTACAGCAGTTAACTTGAGCCAGAGGCAGCAGCTCATCTGATTAACACAACCGTCTAACAACCTAAACAGCTAACTATGCTATAACAATGCAACACGGCAGCTGGCTGTTAAAAGCAGCAATAATAATCTTTTAGGATGGAGGTTAATACTCACATAGAAAAGAAGAGAGCTGCTGAACGATCCAAGAGCTGAGAAAGTGAGTCAGCTAATCTCTATCTTTCACTCTCTCCTCACTCTCTTTCCCTCTCTCTTTCTCTCTCTTTCTCTCTCCTCAATAGTGCGAATGCTGTTTACAGCATTCCACTTCTTTTTAGTGTTGAAAAGGAATCTAACTTCGATACAACAAAATTGTTAATACCTAGGCCGTCTCCGATACCGAACTCCGGTGCTGATAAGGCTCCGGTGAACGGCCGTCCAATCTTTTTAGGACTTCAAAACCTCCCAGAATCTACACGATCAACGTAATCTGTTTAGGGGAGCGTTTACAACGTGGCCTCTAACACCACGCTGCCCGTCGTATCCCTATTTTAGGCACTCTGGCCTCGGATGTCCGACCGCTTCAGGATAGCAAAACGGTTTGTATGGTGTAGTAGGTGTTGGTGGGCT